TCAGTAATGGAAATTTAAAAGTGGCTGTGATGGAGAGAGCAATAGTGCGAGGGATAATCAGTGTATTCGTTCATTGCCACATATCATTTTGCTCGGGGTGTCCGAAAGGATGGTGCGCAGGATATTTTTGCAATAAGACGAAAAAAAAAATTCGACCGGCAAGGCATGTCGCTTGTCCTACCGGCAACCGGTGAAGGTTATGAATTTATAAATGGTATCTGCGAGAAAGAAAATGACCACTCGGATGGATGTGTATCGAATAGGCATTGAGCAAAAACTAGATGCATGCAGCCCAGGATCGATGAGCCTGGCACAGTTGCTCCCGATGAACGAGGGCATCTCAGTAGCATCACTGCGCATCGGATACCTCTACTGGTACGCGAGTGGTCCTGGTGTGCTTGACTGGGACAAAGTGTTGCCGCCACGGTAAAAAGTGGAATGAGATGGGGGAAAGAGATTTTACTTTCTCCGTTGAACCGCTGGACATGCACGAGGAGCCAGCGGATCGTGCATGCATGTAGTGTCTGTCGGTGAAAGTAAACGCTAATCAGTGTGGACGGATTTAGATGGATTGTCGTGCAGATGCCCTTCAGCAGCGTCGGGAGTTTGGGCCAAAGAATTCCTGATTTTCTTGATATTTAATTCGGATATTTTTCAGAAGGAGAAGATGTTCACGGAATTCTCACCCTGGGAGAACAGTCAGGTCTGGCCTTAGATCTTTATCTGTCTGATGTCTCTTCTTCTTCTTCGTCTTTCTCCTCTCCAGATGATGATGATTATGATGAAGAAATGGACGACCCTGGTCCACCAGCAGGTCAAAGCTTTATTTGAAAGCATAAACAATTTCCAATTTAACAAAAAGATGCGTTAAAGTCACTCAAAAACATGCCGCAACATTTTCACTTCTTTATTATATATATTCTTTGCGGTGCAAGGTGTTTTCAACAGTTTATTAGTAATGCAGTAACAATAACCCAGAACACAGTGGCTTGCCGTCGGTTTCCCTAAAGCTTCGGAAGGCACAGTGGTAGACACGCTCCTACGCAATTTGAAAAAGTGACTTTTTTAAGGTGTGGGAAGTACCACAAAATTTTGTTATTTGTCCACTACATTTTTATGCGTTTTTGCTGTGCAGCGCTATAGCGCTGTTACAGTGCAAAAACGCATATTGTCGAGAGGCTGTCTGTGTGTGTGTGTGTTCGGAAAGCGAGTGCATTTTGTCACCCAGTTTCAGTTCGGCAACCAGGAAAGCTGGGGGCTGAAACTTCGGATATATGTTCCTACACGGTGTGTCATCTTCCCGTTTTAAGATCTTCCCCCATACGCGCCTAAA